CATGCTCTGATGTGCCTTTAACAGCTTGGATTTCCTACCAGGATTTTTTCATTTTGGTTGTCTCCCTCTTAGAGTGTCAAGGTGCTGCACAAACTTAGCAAGTTAGGAAGCTGGGAAATGGAGGCCTCAAAACCTGTTGCAGGAATGACACCCAGGTAGCTTGGCATCACATTAACGTGTCCCTCCACTCTGCATTTGTGTGGGTGGATTGTGCCATTCCTATATGAATGCTGTGGGCCAGTGAGTGAAGGTGAGTGGGGACAATGGGTTAACCATTGCCACAGGAGGTTTCGGTGGCTCTGCTGTGTCCATTCCCCTCTCCCCATTATTCCGCCCATTTGGGAATGGAGTGGTTACTCACAGGCCGGAAAACGGGCTTCTTCACTTTGCTCATCTGTAATGAACAGTCAGAAACTCCTCAGTTCCTCTTGGACAGGTCATGGCTAGGGGATGGCCAGCTGTTGCCAGCCTTTCCTCCTCCAGTAGCTCCTTCTGCACAAAGACCATGGCATCTTGTAGCTGGTGAGTCCATGCTCTGGCATCATGACTGGCACCTCCAGGGTCCCTCTTCCTGGTGTTCCCCTCTGGAACCTGGGTCAGCTCAGTGTTGCCTCCATAGAAACCTCTGGTGCTGTTGGTGAAACCCTTACCCACATTGACCATGTGGACTTCCTTTCCAACTCTCTCCTTCTTCCTGGTTTTGGTCTGGAAAAAGAGGCAGGTGAAGACCTGCTTGAAACGCTTGCGGAAATGCTTGGAGATGAGGGCATAGACGATGGGGTTGAGGCAGGAGTTGGCGTATGAAAGGCAGTGGGAAGCCAGGCGGCAAGCGTAAGTGGCTTGGTTGAAGGGGAAGTGGCCAAACCAGAAGCACAGGATGACCAGGTGATGGGGCAGCCAGCAGAGGCAGAACAGGATGGCCACAGCCACAATCATCTTGGTGACTTTACACTTGGCCTTCCGGGACTCTGAGATCCTTTCTATGGGGTCTACGGAGGTCCACAGGAACTTGATGGTCCTGGCGTATGCCAGGCTCACCACACTCACAGGCAGGAGGTATCCAAAGACAAAAGTAAAGATGTCCAGAATCTTTCGGCGCTGGTCCTCCCAGATGGGGACACAGATGGGAACCCTGTGGTAATGGACAATGTGGTAGTAACTGAGGTAAGGCCCCGCGAAGAGCAGCGACAGCGACCAGATTGCTACGATGGCCACTCCTGCATTTCGGGAGGTACGGAGATCCCGGGACTTCAGTGGATAGCGAATGGCCAGGTACCTGGCAAGGAGGGGACAGAGAAGGAGAGACCAAACAGAACATGGGTGAGATGACACCTTGTTGCCCTCCTGCCCTGTGGAGCTGCCACCCTCTGTGCCCCCCCCCCCCCACGCAGCCACCCCTCTCCACCTCTTGGTAGGGAGTGTTACGGTGAATTCACACAGAGATCAGGGTCATCCCAACAGTTGGTCTGGGATCTCTGTTGCCCACTCTGCTGTGCTAGCTCAGGAAAGGCAAGCAGCATGCCTCTTGAACCAGGGAAGAGAAGGACAGGAGCAGGACCCAGAGGGCTCTCTCTTTCCCCTCTGGTGCATTGCTGCCCTGGGGTTTTGCTGTTCTTGGTTTTGCGTGGTAGACATCAAACCTCAGCATGTGCCTGCACTACTTCCTAAGTGAGGGCTGGGTAACCAGGCCAAGAGCTTGACTTGGTGCTGGAAGAGGGCACGGGGAGACAGGGAGGCTGGCTCTGCTGGCCTTGCCTCTGGGGAGACCCTACCTGCTCCTTACAGGACACTCAACAGGGTAAGGACTGGCCTTTCTCCCACCCCTTAGCTCAAGGGTGGCAAGCAGGTTGTCCCTGAGCTGAGGGACTCAAGAGGGAGAGGATGCTTGCCTGTCAACAGAGACGGCAGCCAAGGTGAAGCTGCTGGCGTACATGGTGAGGTAGATCAGGAAATGCACAGCCTTGCAGGCAAAGGCCCCAAAGAGCCACCCATCCAGGGTGTAAATGGTGGCCTGGAAGGGGACGCAGCAGATGATGAAGCACAGGTCAGCCATGGCCAGGTTAAGGATGAAGAGGTTGGTGGTATTGTACTTGACTTGGCTGTTCCACAGCAGCACGGCCAGCACCAGCCCGTTCCCCACAGTGCCCAGGAGGAAGATGAGGGAGAAGACGATGGGCACGATAATCCCTGCGGCTCGCAGCTCCGGGCTGTCAGAGGAGGTGTTCCAGCCTCCCGGCATCTCCCCATCTGACTGCGGGGACCTGCGAGGGAAGAAAGGGAGACACAGCACCTGTGCATGGCCATAGGTAAGTGGGTGCTGCTTGGTGTTGACCACAGTGGCCACCAGAGCTCTGGCCCTAAGATGCCTGATGCTGGCCTTTGTCTGACGCTCACATTTCTCCCAGAGATGCCAATCCCAACCACCTAGTTAAAAGATGACATCGAGGTCCTCGTGATGTCACTGGCAAGAATGCTGTTGGGATCAGTCAGCCCACATCTGCCTGACTTGAGTAGAGCTGAAGCCCCTTTCTCCTGCCCGCATTCACATCCCCACCATGGCACCTCCTGTGCTCCCAGCCCCCTGAAGGACCCCCTGGTCTGCCACCTGGCCTCCCCTACATTCCTCCTACAATCCCAAAGCCGCTAAACCTCTTGGGATTGCTTGCTTTGGCGAGCCTAAATCCTGGCTGGTGTTCAACAGGGCTCAGCAAGGGACGCGAGGCCATAGGGACTGTGAGTGGTTCTGGCACCCTCATCCCGGGGCTGTGCCACCTCTGGCAGCAGGGACCTGATGCCTGGACGACACCCTGCAGCAGCAGTACCCTGCCACGCTCCTGCCTCAAGGGAGCTCCTTCAGCTGGGACCACCTCCACCCTGGAGCTGGCTGCCCCTTGCTCCCTTTGCAGCAGTTATGCTCCACAGAGGAGCGGTGACTCGGGGCAGCTCTTCCTGATGCTGAGAGGTGGTCACGGGCTGGATGGTGGCAGCTAGGAGAGGATGGGGGAGACCTTGGAGCCGCCTGAAGCACAACACGATGCTCATGGCGAAGGAGTGTAATTATTACTGCAGCTCAAGGTATTGTGATTTGCTGCAAAACTTCCTCCAGCCCTGAGTAACATTGCGCTCGGGGGGGAGCAACAACAGCCTGTCTCCTAACGAGCCTTCCCTGTGTTGTGCTATCGTTAGAACAAATTGTCCTTCGCTAAGCAGCAACCAAGAGGGAAAGACACTGTTATCTAGCAACTGCTGACATGCAATTAACTCTTGTTTGGGTCATGCAAGCTCCTTTGCCCCATGGTCCCTCATCCCTTGGCTCACGCCGCTTCTCCTTCCTATCAGCCTCTCTGTAATGCACCGAAAGGTTGCCTGTGCTTCTCTGGCTCTGTGGTCCCCTCTGTCCTACTGGTAACTATCTGGCTCCTCCATCTTGGCCCTGTGGACCCCGGTCGCCCTGGACCCTGGTCACCCTCTGGGCACACACTCACACATAGGCAGCGGAGCATTTCTGGGCACTGTCGTGTCCCTGCTCAGGGAGCCCGAGGCTGCCCTTTGCTTGAGAAGCCGGCACTCACCTCTGTAAGAAAGGGCCTGCAGCTTCGCCGCTTGCTTGGGGGAGACCCCTGGTCCAGCCCGGACAGCAGCGGCGAGAAGGATGCGGGTGACCAGAGAGTTCGTCTGGGCAGCGCCGTCACCCCTGCCTGGTGCTCCGCTGCCTCCCCTGCCTGCTGCCACCTCTGCTCTCTCTTCTTCTGGCTTGCACACACGGCTGTCTCCTTCTAGAGCTCCTCTGCTCTCTCTCTCTCTCTCTCTCTCTCTCTCTCTCTCTCTCTCTCTCTCTCTCTCTCTCTCTCTCTCTCTCTCTCTCTCTCTCTCTCTCTCTCTCTCTCTCTCTGTCTCCCCCTTTTCCCTCCCTCTGCTTTTGCTGCTGATCCATTGATCTCTGGTTTGTTTTTTTTCTCCCCTATCCCTGAGGTTGGGTTTGGAGTTAACTCCTCTCTGCCCAGCCTTCCTGTGGACTCAGCTGCTCCCCGTGCCAGTGAGGAGGGGACAGCGGAGAAAAAGCCTGCTGCTCTCCAGTGGGAGAGGGTGGATGGAGGGGGCAGGGTCCCATGGACCCCAGCGGGCCTTGCGGGCACCCCTCGACGCTGGGTGTTCAGCACATGTTGCCCAACACCTGCAGGGAACATGAATATCCCACCACAGTGAGCCTGGCCCCTGCCCCACCCTTGGGATATGGGTCTAAACCCTCTGGAGCACAAGCAATTAATTGCTATTACTAGCTGTTATTAATTGTTAGTAGCACAGCACAGAGCAGATCAAGTCTCTCCCACAATGTGTGACCCAGGGAAGGAGCAGAAAGCAGCTTTTGGTTTCCATCCAGCCCAGGTCTGCCCTCCACCAGCACTGCCCGGGCACTGCAGTGTGGGGAGGGAGGACAAGCCATGCAGGGAGGCCATCTGCAGAGGTTCAGCTCCTTCGCTGCTGTCCAGGACAGCATGTGTGCCAGCTGATGTGCTGAGAGGTGACAGTGACCCACGCAGCCCTCCTGCCCCACCGCCCCGCCACCATGTCCACCCCCGCGACGGGACCTGTGCCCTGTGGACTTCCAGGTGCACTGAGTCCAAGCACAGCTTGGTGGTCCTTTCCGGGCAAGACCCAAAGGCCACCGGCTGCTCTTCGCTGGAAAGGTGCTGGACACCTCTTCCAACGATGGGGCAGGATGTGGAGGAGGAGGAGGCGGTGCTGGCCCCTTCCCCTCCACGGCAGCCCTGATGCCCCTTGTCAGAGGCACCCCTCAGCCTGGCGGGAGGGACGGTGCGTCCTCCCCTCCCTGCCTGCCCCTCTGGCGGGAGGGAGCAAGGTGTCCCTGCCAGCTTGCTATCAGCCGCTGTAACCAGGGAAAAGGGGAAGGCCGTGCCTTGGGACGTGGTGATAACCCGGGGGATGCGGCGGAGTGAGAGCCCACAGCCCAGCACAACCCGCTGCAGTGCTGCTTTGCCATGGAGGGCTCCCACCGTGGCTGCCTCCTCCTGCTCCTCCTCTGCCTGCTGCCGCCACCGGGCACCGTGGGCCCACTGCCACCACCGGAGGAACCCCAGGAGCCACCGCCGCTGCCATCCAGCACCGCTGACCCTGCCACCCACCTGCTGCGCGGCCGCCCCTCGGCCCCCGTGCGGCCCTACAGCCTCTCGCTCTCCCCCGAGGACTACCGCTACTCTCCCAAGCCCCGGCACCTGCGGCCTGGGCGGCTGCGCCGGCTGCTGGGCTCAGCCTTTGACCCCTTCTGGATGGCGGCCGAGGAGCCCCGTGGCCGCAACGGCAGCGTCCCCGAGGAGAACCTGGAGTCCCTGAGCCGGGACCTGGCGGAGGGGGCCGGGCGCTACCGCCGCCCGCCGTGGGGGGGGGG